TCGCTCGAATTGAATTATTTCAATGCCGAGTTTGACTTTCAAATAAAAGTGGAATGGAAAAGAAAAAATTAAAATGAAAGGGACGAAGCAATGTTTCTCGATCTGGGATCTGCGTAGGGAGAGAGATACCGGAAGGGCCGACCCCGGCCATTACGCAGTTGAGATCAAGTTTTAACATTACGGAGATAAAGCACAAGCACAGGCTGACCAATGCGGAGGCCGTGAATTGCTTGTTATTTAAAATTCAAAGGATACCAGAAGTCAACATTTCGAATGAAAGTTTTCGAAACTCGGTACACGTACGTTAGGAACCAGTACCATCGGCCATCGTTTCGCTTTCGAATGACGACGACAACGACAACGACGACGACAACTACGACTACGACGACGACGACTACGACGACTACGACTACTCGGGCGGGCTTGATGGCGCGGTCGCTGCGCGCAACAGTAGTCGGGGGGATAGAGAAGTGAGCGGGTAGTCGAAGCAAGGGAGACCGAAAGAGAGCTCGAGCACGCTCGTCTCGCGCGCCCGCGCCAAGCCGCGCGGTATCGCGCCACGCCGGTGCCGCGCCGGCGTGGCGGAGGCCCGGCCCGGCGTGGCAAGCGGCTTGGCGCGGCACGGCCGCGCGCCGCACTCGACGCGGGAGGGCGAACCGGAGTACGGAGGTGGTAGGTAATCACCCGGCGGCTCGCGTTATAGCGTCGTTACGCCGCAGCGCCGCTATCGTCGTCTCCTGCCATCCCCTTGCCGCCGCCACTCTCTTCCCACTGTGTCCTCTGCCGGTTTCTCGTACCGTTTTCTCCCTCCCTCGCTCTCCTTCCTTTCTCTCAGTCACTCTCACGGTCTCCGTTCATCTCTTGGGCTCCTCTCGCCTCTCGCGCCACCGTCTCTCGTTCTCTTACTACCCGCTTCGACCTAGCCTCTTCCGCAGCGACGACGGTAGCGGTAGCAAGCTCGAGTCTCGAACCGCGGGCGACGTGGCTGCCTTTCATATACCGGTATACGGAATACGGTTATCCCCCTATCCCTCTCTCCTACCCCCTTGGCCGCGTCTCCGCGCCATCCAGCGTCCCATCGCCTCCGACATCCAACTCCGCTCCCGGCACCCTCGCCTTCTCACCCTTCCGCCGGTACTCCCGCGCCATGCCGTCGCCTTCGCCACCGTCGAGGCCGAGTTTAATTATTTCATATCGCCGTACACGGATCAACGCCGCCGCCGCCGACGCCGCCGCCGCTG